TAAATATACAAATAAATCTTTAGTATTATTGAAACTTAATCTTTATTATTTTTTTTTCAATTGTTGCAACTCAGAATATTGAATTTACAAAACTTATAAGTCCTAAATTACTATGCCTGCTATAGTGCCAACAACTATTATGTCTGCTATATACAACAACTAACTACTACATCTACTACAAGGATAGTGGTTTTTTGTAGTGGTTAAAACTAAATTCTGTATGTGATTAAGACAAATTCTGTAATTTAATGTGATAGATTTTTATATTTCTGTGTGATTTTGTGATACTATTTTGTAATTTTTGTAGTTAGCTATGTTTAAAAAAAATTTTGTAGTTTTCTGTAAATCATGAAAAATCACTGTCATCAATCTGTACTTTTATAATGTACATTTTATTTATTGTATGAATTAAGATAGTTGTATAAAGGTAGTAACTGATATTATATTTTTATAAGTTTGGTAGTTGTTAATACTATAATTGACATATTATTTATTAGTACTATAGTAGGCTAATGATTTACAGAAAACCACAAAATCTTTTAAATATAGCTAACTACAGAAATTACAAAATAGTATTACAGAATCACATAGAAATATAAAATCTATCACATTAAATTACAAAATTTGTTTTAATCATATACAGAATTTAGTCTTAACTATTATGAAAAATTACTGTCTTTGTGCCAAAGTGGCTTAAATCAATTCTGTTAATTCTGCTATTTCAACTATATCAATATATCTATATATCTGCTATAATCTATTACTTGCATCAATATGATATAAGTGATAGAAGTAGCTCATACAATATATGTTGCAAATAGCATACATAGAATAAAAAGTAACAAATATGTGATATATCATATTTAGTATACAGAAAAACATAGTAATAGAAATTGTATATAAAGAAATAAATCATACCTTAAATAAAAAACAACTTTTGGAGTTTGAACTTCAAAAAGTAAATAATAGAAGTATCCAAATAATAATAAAAATCTTTTTTGTCTCTTGATAATAACACTTCTTTCATAAAATCATATTTTTTTGTTCCTATGATTCTCATTAACACGTTATAAAAAAAGAAAGAATATATTAGTAATTAAGATCACATTTTATATAAAACTAATAGTAATTATATTTGTGATCAAATTTATTGTTACAAAATACCTATGTAATTATATTTTTTGATTTTAGCATCCCTCAATGCTAAAATAAATCACATAATCTGAAAATAAATAACATACTGGAAACAGAAAATATATAAAACATTAGTATTGAATCAATATATTAAATACAAAAAATACATACTTAAAGTAAAAAATATACTTATTCAAGTTCTAGTAATATATCTACAGAACTTTAAATCTTTAAAACTCAGACCAAATCTAATCACACTTCAATTGAAGCCTACCAATTAGAGTTTTAGATATTATTTTAGTTAAGTTAAGTTGTATATTATACTATTTAGTGATATTAAAGCCTGGATACACTTCTATAATATGTAAAATTAGGTATATTACTAAAACTTCTATGATTTAGTATACACTATATATATAATCTACAATCTTCTTTTTTAAAGCTAACTATTTAAACTTTATTAAGTATATTAAAATAAACTTTTAGAATATTAGTTATGTTTAATTAATTTTGTATAGTAAGTATTAACATTCTTTCGAAACTAGAAAATTTTGTTATTATAGAGTGTTATGCTTTTTAAATATATGTACTGTTTAATATCCAAAGCTACTTTTTTTATATTTATTCTGAAAATATTCACCTTATCAGACTGATCTATACTGATCTTTTAAATTTAATAGGCAAATAAACTGATGATATAAGCAGAACCTAGTAAGTCCTCGCTACGTTTCAGACAATAATCATATTAATTAAAATATTTATAATTTGATTGGCTATTCATATGCATATTATGTTATACAAGACATGATCTACATGAAATAATATATAACAAAACCTATGGGAATGATATATATATTAACTTTTTAAATATTATAAATTAAATATATTAAATATTAAAAATTTTTAAAAAATCTTTTATTTTTGACAAAAATAAATTTTTATAAAATTTTTAAAAAATTAGAAGCAAATTTGTCTCAAATTTGTATACAAACTAAGAGGGAAAAAAAACATTAAATTAATATGATCTACATATCTGTAGAACAGTTTTTTCTAATTTTCATTGTTATCTTTATAATGCACTAGCCTTCACAGATGCATTATGATAAAAGCTCTCAACTTGGCACACCTAATGATCTACTTTTTATAGCAGGTATTTACAAACTGGAGAAAAATCATGTGAAAGAAGACAAAAAAATTGCACAGGTTTGAAGCTATATTATTTTACAAGGGCAAGCTAGTTTTTAATATTTGTTATATTTTCTAATTTGTAAAAACTTCAAGAAAAAGTTTGTTTAAAAAAACATCATGTACTGTAGCTAAAGTTTTAGAAAAAATTTTAAAAAATATAAATTCGTCAATTTGTGTAATTTATAAAAATCATATAATAAAATTTTGGATGTAACAAATTATGCATCTGATATAATAAAATAACTTAAATAAAAAGTACAATATTCAATAAATAATAGTATTTGCTTAAATACTTTGAATAATATATATTCTTAAAATAATTACCTTAGAGTATGAATAATACACTAGTAAAGAAAAAAAATAAATTATTTAAATAATCGTAAGTTACCAAGTTTTTAGTTTGAATTAAAATAACTAAAAAAAATTTACACTTTTCTTTAGTTTTACATATAAATAAACTACTTTTTTCTATTTGATCTATAGAGATCTGAAAGCTTTAAACAATACTTTAAAACTTGAAATATAAGATGAAGTAAGATATTATAGCAGGAATAGATAAAGTAGTAGATTAAATTATATTGAAAATAATACTTAGTTTGTTAGTTAGAATCTAATGATTCATATATAATTCAATTCATCCTACTAAGATGAATCGAATAATGCAAAAAATTTTTAATCTTGATAATTGACTTAAAAGACAATCATATAAATGACTATTTAAATAGAGTAAGTAAATACTATAGCTGATTATCATAATACAATATATAACAGATTACTATAATAAAATTAATATTGATATGTTTGATATAACATTCTGAAATAAATTCTTGGAGGTTTCTGTATTGCTTTTTCCAATATAGATGACTGACTTTATTAGAAATAACCTCTCAAAAAAGAAAATAATAAATTTATTAGTACTTCACAAAAGCTAACCTCAAGAAAAATAATACATAATTAGAATGACATTCTTATTTCCTAGAACATTTATGTTAATACTGTGTTATTTGTAAAAGCTTATATTTTCCTTACCTAACCAGAGTGGCTATCAAAATTTCAGGGCAAGAAGCATTTAAGCTATTTAACATGATGTTATTTTATAAGTTTCTATAAATGTATTTATATTTTCAAAACCAAGCTTATTAACTATTGATCTTTATAAAAAAGCATAGATATAAAAATTCTAATGAATTTGAAGGTTATAAAATTCTTCACATTTATTATATACATAAATAATAAATATTACAAGAATCATATCAAAATCTATAACTTATTAAATTAGCAAATAATCATTCAGTTGATTTTTTGTTTTGCTTACCAATTGTGAAGAATAAATAGAATTTATTCACAAATATCCTTAAGAGATTGATGTTTATGTTATCAACCTGATAGTAGGTTTAAATTCAGATATGTATGTACTTAGTAAATTGAAATTTATATGAAATATGTAAAATACTATTGCTATGTATAAGGATTTAAACAACTTCTGCTTATAGTGCAGTAGTAACAATCAATCTAAATTGGATTGTAGCTCATTTTTTGGTAACACTATGCAATAATATTAATATTAATAATTGTTTAAACAAACTAAAAGTTTTGAACAAAAACTAACCAAGAAAAATAATTTGAAGTTTAAATTCTTTTAAGCAAAGTTTTAATATTTTTTGAGCTAAAGTTTTTAACAAAAGTGAACATTCAAATTAGAAAATTAAATAAATAGCTTAAACTTAGTAAACTTGGATTTTTTAGAATAAAAGTGCGATCTAAAATTAAATTATAAATTAAGAAATAATAATATTATTTTGCCTTTTCGAATAACTAATATCTCTTAATCAATCACAATTGTGTTGTAATTGTGTTATAATTGTAATTGATCATAATTATAATTTATTTAATTTATTTTGCTTTTATTTTATTTTAAAAGACAAATGTAATTGTTTGTGATTTTAAAATACAAATATAATTGTTTGCAACTTTAACTTATTAATATCAAAATTTTATTTAAGTCATTTTTTTTGTTTTTTGGCATAAATTTTTCATGAATAAGAAAAAATATCAGTAAGTAATTATTGATTAAATAAATAAAAATATTAGTTAGAACCAAAAATAAGACTGTAAAAACTAATATTAAAAAAAACAATTTTGCAAAAATAAAAAAAACAATCTTAAAACTAAAAATAAATCTATTTCTAAAATTCAACATTTGAAAGCTATCTCAAATACACTTAAAGTGCTTAATAATCCTGAATCTTCTAGTATATATGAAACCACTAAGAGATTTGGAATTGTAGAGACAACCTTAAGACATGCAGTTAAGAATAATAGTTTACTCAAATGTCTTGGTCATGAAACTATTTGAGTGCTCATGAAGAAGAACAATTAGTAAGTTATTGTAAGAATATGTAAAGTTTGGAGTTTGGATTAATAAGATCGGGAATAAATTATTGTGTCATAGAAATCATGCATAGCAACAAACGTGATTATTCATTTAACAACAAAGGATCTAGTAAAGCCTAGTAGACATATTTTATGAAAGACTATTCAGATTTATTTTTTCATGTATCTCAGGTCTTATCAGAAGCCTGTACACAAAATGCAAATCCAATAATTATAAATGATCATTTTAAAAAACTTCATAAATAATTCAAAACCATTCACTTACTGCTGATCACATTTGGAACATGAATGAGACAGGCTTTGTTCTTTCCCCAAAACTTAAGAAAGTTATTGCAGAAAAAAGTACCCATCAAGTCCATAAAATATCTCATAGAAATGAAACAGACCATATATCTGTTGCTCCAATAATCTTTGCTGCTAGTAAATATATTCTTCTACTAATAATATATAAGAGCATTCATACGATTTCAAGTAGGAGTTGAATTATTAAATATTGAAATAGGTTGTTAATAAAGTAAATTATTAGTTTCTTTTTTTTTTTTAATAAAAGAATTTCATATTTATTAATAATTAAAATTTTAAACCAACCTTATTTTTACTATCTCTAATCTCAGGTCTATTAACTAGAGCACTATCTGAAAACATTATAAGATTTACTAACTCTGGATACATAAAAGAACATCTTTTTCAAATATATATCCAGCATTTTGTTAATTCTATTTCATCTACTCATCCTGTCCTCTTAATTCTTAATGATCATAAAAATCATGTTAACTATTTAAGCATCAATTTCTGTTATAAGAATGAAATTTTATTGTATGCACTTCCACCATATACAACATGCATTCTCTAACCATTTAAAACCTCTTTTGCCAAACTCAAAATAGAGTATGACAATAACTGTGATAAACTTTATAAAAATAGTGATGAGCTAATAATTAAGCATACATTTGCAAAAGTACTTGAACCAACATTTACTGCAACTTATATTCTTACAACAATCACAAATACCTATAAAACTACAGGAATCTAACCATTTAATCCTAATGCTATTAATCCTAACTGTCTCAATTCTTCATTAGTAACCAAATAATTTGATCTTGATTTATCTTCTTCTCATCAACCAGTTCAACAAGTCAATAATATCATTTAAATATCCCAACAAATTCATATATACTCTACTTTAGAAGAAGAACTTGTATCCTTTAAAAAAGAAATAAAATTGCTCAAAGAAGAAAATGTATTATTTAAAAAAAATAATTTATTAATGCAAGAAGAACTAGAAACTTTTAAAAAACCTGGTACTTGCCCTCTAAAACTTGTATTAAAATATCCTGTTCGTCTTGTTCATCCTTCTCAAGTCTCTAATGAATTAAATACTGCTAATTTATCAACTCAACCACTAAAAAAAAAGAAAACTTTATCGTTTGACCAACTTCTTACTAATGAGGAATCATTGCAAGAATTAAAAAAGACAGATGAATTAGTCAAGAAGAAAGCTAAAACTGCAAAACATAAAAAAGAAGAGGTTTTTCATAAAAAAAAAGAAGCTCTTCATAAAAAGAAGGAGACTCTTTGAAAGCAAGCTGAACGAGAATTAGAAAAGGCACAAAAACAAGATGCTTGTAAAAAAAGCAAAAAAAGAATAAATCTTAATGTTAAATTTATCATGGATAAGATATAGGGTCACGATTAATTTTACATTATCTGATCGGCTACAGTATTTTGCTTTGCATACGCCGATCTGTCAATCCGCCACTTTACCTTCCAAGCGTTAAAGTTATTCGGCACTAATAAAAGTTATGCAAATATAAGTTACCTTATGTTTTTTTTTTTTTTTTTAGAATTTAAATGAATTAAAAATTATTATATTAAAATAAAAAACTGTAGTAATAAATTTTTAAATAAAGTTTTATTATATGCAAATTTTGATAAATTTTAAATCCGCCATAATACCCTACTTCACCTTATATTTGTAAAAAATTTTCAGGTTACAAATATCATAATGCATGATCTACCAACAACCAATTAAACTTCTATCATGCTTACGTCATTTTTTAGAGGTCACGTTTAAGTTCCGATCAATATAAAAAATTTCTTGCCTCGTGTTAGTCTCGATATCAACACGAATGTTTTCAGAAAATCTTCCTTATGCGACCGCCTTGGAGGGCGAGGCCGAAGCTTTATTGAACGTCATTGTAGAGCGCTTATGTTCCTCGGCAAAGGCGCAAGATTGGGGTCCGGGTTGCAGTTACTGGGTAAAACAGCTCAATAGGTAAGATACGCTAGTTGAATTTCCTTATAACCAAGCATTGGGTGAGAATTTTTAACTAATTCCAAACCATACTCTAGTTATCTTGATCTCCAGCACCAATTATCACGCCAGACCCGCGCTCAACTAGCCTACGTTCTTTTTGAACTCGTTATCACACCTGGAATTGACGCATCTCATGCTGAGGTTTTTGCAAATACTTGTATACGCTTACTCAAGTATGAAGATTGATCTATTTTTCACTTACTATAACCATTAAGAAATTATTATACTTATGCTCTTCATTATTAATTAACGAAGGAAAAAAGACAAAATTGGACCGGAAGATTTAACATTACAATGGGAACCATTATATGATATCATTCATCGAACATTTTTTCCAAAAGGTCGACAGAAAACTTTAGTCAGTGAATCGTATCCTATCTGAGAAATTTTCTTAACACATATTAACCCTAATTACTCGAACTAGTCCTTAATTCACAGAATTATCATCAGTAAACAAATTGGATCTGTGGTACGTCTTGTAGAATATGCGCAAAGGTAAGATATTACGCCGATTTAGAGAATGGTTTTATCATATGTGGATGAGGTAACTAATTTGAAATATTTCAGATTTTTTCCTCCAGAAGCCACAGATGAAATTCTTTCTCGGGTCCTCCCTCTTTTCAATGCCAATTCTGGTGGGGATGCATTCACAGTACAAGCTTATCTCGTTCGATTCCTTCCAACTGCGCCATCTCCAAAGTCATCTCCTTCTACATGGTTACCTACTATATTTTCATTTTGGTACCTTATCCCAGGGTCATTTATGTATCAAATAGAGTTTATAGATCTTGTTGCTCGTGTTGCTGAAGATAACGTTGGTGTCGAAGTTGATAATCCAGACCAGATAGGTATTTTTACTCAGGCACAAGTTAAAACCGTATTTGCAACTGGTCAAAAAATGATGGACCTACCAGTGGGTAGTACCACCAACGGCAATACCCATTCTGGAAGGGGAGGATCAATGTCAGGATTACCTTCAAGAATGGATCTTAGAACAGGCAGTGCTATGTTCTTAAGGAAAAAAGGGGTAGGTTCTACTTAGTTATTAAATATCTTTGAACTCACGTTTTTTTGTGAATGATTTTCAACCACTTTTTTAATTTAATGTGTGTGTAGGATAAATTCAAAATGCTAGCCAGATTTATTGTGTATTCTATTTTTCCGCCTTCTAATAATACCCAAGAGAAATCAATTCTTACTTATTTAGCGAATATGATTCAAGCAACCGAATCGTATTATCATCCAAGTAATTTTGGACGTTGGACCTTCTCTATTGTAAGATTTTTACAATTCCTTGGATGGGAATTCTTAAAACGATGGACTGACGGTATTTATGGTTTATAAATATTTTCTTATCAAACTTTTTTTTATGTGATCATTCTATGATAATATCTTATAAATCGTTCTCTTTCGTATAGAACACAAGCCGGAATGTAAAACTCCAGAATCACGGCGATTAACACCTGACCTTAAACGCCAATTTGTTCTTATTCTTAGAGGAGTTACTTTCTTGTCAATGTTTGGCAAAGACCCATTATCAGTTGGATCAAGTCAAGCTGCTTTAAAATATTTAGCTTGTATCCTTTATAGTTGAATGAATATTAGCAATAATCATACATAACATTTTTTTCCCTAACGGAGGTTACGCATTAAATTTTTTTCGCAGGGCTAGAACCTTCGTTAATATTTCCAGGGTTGTTAGGACGTGTTTATCCTTCTTTAGAAACTCTAACTGAGGTACGAAACATTATTTGCTAGCTATCACATATAGTTTGTTTTTCAGCTTATGAACAAAATTTATACATGATTGCTAGACCCATAGAACAACATCATCCATCTCGGCTCTTTCGCTCCTGGCGATTCCACTATTTTCTCGTGCCCATTATCCTGCCGGTGGAAAACATCTTGCCCCACTTCTTCATTTAACAATTCCCGGGATTGACATGAATGATCCAATAAAAACAATTTCTTCTCTTATTTTTCTTACACACGCAGTAATGGGCGTTCCTTTAAGAGATTTGACTGAAGGTAGTAGCATCACAGAATCCGAATTCAGGTGGGAGGGGATGGACATTGATGACAGAGAAGAAGATCAAATAGAAACTAATGTCGAAGAAGAAGATGCCGTGTGTAAAGCTAGTACTGCAGTATTTGAGGAATGGCTTGCAAAATTTTTAAGACGTGTTTTCACTATTGTATCCTTTGACTGTCGTATCAAATAGCACTTATATTTAAGTGCCACTTTTATTAACATTATATGCTCCTTCATTTGGTTTTGAAAATTGAAAATCCATGATAGTTTGAATATCTTCCGCAGTCAGAACGTGGCAAGATGAGTATGCAAAGCATGGAAACTGGATTGGTTACTGTGTTACTGGTAATTATTATGTTCGTAATTTTGAATTAAAGATTTTTTTTGGAAGCTAAATATTTTCTTTCCATTATATAGCATGCTTGTGAAATTGTTGGTACACAAATGTCCGAACAACTTCAGGATATGGCTTTAAAAATGGTTATAAATTTTGCATCAACTACGGTTCTTCAGAATGCTACAAAGCCCATGGGTATAATTTTGAGAGTTGTTGGATAATTTTAGGCCTATTATATAATATAAGCCGCTAATTATTAACTTTTTAACCATTCATTTTCAAAAATTCTAGGATATTTATGCTCTACTCTTACAAGTCCAAATAGATGCAAGGCACTTGCCCAATTTATCCCTCTTTGCCGCACAAATATTATTATTGAGCTTCAACATGGTGCATCATCTACGCCCACTACCTCTCCAACACATCATATACAGTCAGATGCTACACTCCATTGGTATCAATGTATTCTGTATCATGTTATCATGCTAAGTGGATCCGAATTGCTTCGTCATAAAAATGACTTGTTGTATTTGGCAAAAGAAATGGTGCAAAAGTGTCGTTCTCGAAAAGGGTATATGTGGACTGGAAAATTTATAAGAATGATGTTAGTTGCACTGACACAAATTTATCCTTTGGAATGTCGGAATGTTGATAAAGAGCGATGGAAGTCTGAAGGTAAATAATTTACTGTGACTGAAATTTGAGACGAGTAAGCTTTTAGATTTGTTAATTATATACTTAACAGAATATCAGAAAAACCAACACAAATATTGGGTCCAACCAGGCGATCCAGAAAATATAAATGTTGATTGGCATGTTCCTTCTAATCCTGAATTAGATTTTGCAATGGAAATTTTGGAAATATTTTTATCACCGACTTTAAAAAGAATCCAAGATTTGATGGATAGTGGAGCAGATGATGAAGGGAAAGCATTGAGCAATCGAGAAATGACACATGAGTTTTGTCGTCGTTTGAGTATAGTTAGAAATTGCGTTGGTGGAATGACTACACTTGTCGAAGATGACGGTGACGTTGATATCTCTGATTACAAGTAATTTTGAAGCTGATATCTTGACAACAAATTAAGGATCACAATTATTGAACCAGATTTTGACATTTTAGAGATGGTGAGACTGAAGCTGTTCTTCCAACAAGAAATATTCCAGTGGGTTATTGCTTTTTAGATCCAAATGATCCACGTAGACAGACTGCAAGACAATTGCGGAAAGAATTAGGAGAATTTCTTCATAGATTAGTGCTATATTTCCGAACTACACGTGAAGATGATGTTGACAGCTTGAAAATCCTCCTCAAGGTCAGTGAGTTTAATGCTTTACTTTATTATATCATTAAATCGATCTATATTCAGAATATATTTTTATGTATAGATCATAAAAATATATCTTACGGACCGTGGTGTAGAAAAATCAAAATACGATGCAAGTAAAAGAGGCTATCAATATGCTAAAGGCATGTTGAAGACTTCTAACCATGATAAAAAATATCCTCGTTATTTACTAGGTAATTTACATACAAAAAGAATTTACATTAATATTATTTATCATTAGACTAAATGCTTTATTAATTATATAGTTAAACGGGCATACCAGCAACATTTATGCCGTTTGAAACAAAATGCATTTGGTAGAGAGAGAACTCGGCTACATGATGATTTGCTCAAAGATTTGGTCGAATTGTCTCTAAGTTCATACTCGGAGATTAGAAAGTACGAATAAATATATTGTGTTTGTTATTTAGCATATATGTGACTCGATCTTCATGTAGTTCACTTGCCATAATTTCAGAATAGCGCAATCCCATCTTACAAATGCGTCTCGTTGTTTCATTGGTGCGAAGCCCCTTATCATTCCTATTTTGTTGAAAGCTTTAGAACCAACCGGTAATGTTAATTAGTTATAACACGTAAGCTTAAATAGTAATGATTTTGCACTTATAACTTTTGTTTTTTTTTTAGATAAGCCAAATTCTGAAAGAATGAAAGGTGCTCTCTATTTATTAAGTTCTCGGACATATATGTATACATGTTTAAGAGATTGGAGATTTGTTCCATTGTTCATAAGCCGCATATGCCAAGCTCAACATGATGACAAGGTTAGTCGTCAATACATATAACAATAACTATTAATTTCATTGATTCATTATTTTACATTCATTGCAGCCTTCGGTCCAAGAAATGATACGTAAAGTCTTTTACGATTATCTCATGAATTACAATAATACGGCGTTTAAAACAATTCTCACAGATGGATTGAATGATGCAATATGTCGAACGCTTGATACCCTTTCACTTTCATTGAATAAAAGTGTCTTCGATAAAATCCAAAGAAAAACTGAACAAAGAATGTCTTTACAGAAGAAAAACTATTTTGAACTTGTAAGTCAATTGAAATGTTATTAAATATTAAACGTAAAATTGACATTTTCGCTAATTTATGTAGGTCGATACTCTCTTAAATTTGGTTAAATCTAACACTCTCCATTGGCGGTTTGCATCTATGGCTGCAAATTTTTTGGATCTTCTAGTACGACCAGAAGCCCCAGCTTCTTCAGATATGGTAGAATTTGCAGCAAAAGGCCTTGTTTCTGAGCTTCCTGCATTGAGGCGTATTGCTATTTCTACAACTACCCGAATTTTATTTCATATTAAACAACGAACACTTACCAATGGTGACTTAGAGTTAATAGTATTAAAAAAAGCCAACAATCCTTTGAAAAAGACCATCACAATACCTAGGCCTTTACCAGAAGGATATACTAATGAATACTTAGCAACATGTTTGACTAAAGTTAATGAAAATAACGCAGAAAATGTGTATGTATGATTAGAAAGCATCACCATGTTGATATACATGAATTAGACCATTAACGCTTTATCATTCTTGCCAAAACAGATTATTTCAAGATAAGGTCAATGTCGGTTGGTACGTTTGGCCTGACAATATTTCTACGTATTCACCATGTATTGAGTCAAGTGTAATGCCCAGTTGTGAGTCATCTTCTCAAGCCGCGTTCAACAAGTTCCTCGAAAGTTTTAGTTCATCAACTTTTTGGTCATCCTTATTATCATATCTATCACAAGAATTTGTTCGTGATAGAGAAGATAACTTTTCGATGATCAATGCACATTTATTTAAAAGCATTTTTCAAATGTATGAAGACACCTTCCTGGAAGTTGCTAAGCCAGAAATTGCAAGGTTATGTGAATCCGCAGAGAAAAATCAGCAGCGTGCGGCATCAGAAATTTTAGCGGGTCTAATAAGAGGAAGCAAACACTGGAAATTGAGCAAATTGCAAACGTTATGGGATTGGGCGATTCCTGTACTAGAGCAAACTTTTAATTCCATTACTCCAGATTCTCTTGTGTATTGGGAACGATTCCTTGGATATTGCTTCGTAAGTTAACTTCTTTACGAGTACCAATTATAAAAATATTTTATTATTTATACTTATTTATTATGTAATTTTGTGTCTTAATAGCGGAATCGAGATCCTAGACGAGTACTTCCTCTTATTAACCTAGTCTTGGACTCAAATCTTGATCCTACTTCTCATGCATCTTTTGCAGAGGCCAAAAAACTTTTTTTCGTGAATACCCTCATTAATTCTTTTTCATGGCGTGTTATACCAAGATCACAGTCGCTACTTGACATTTATTTTTCGAACGTTCGTCATCCTTATAAGCAAGTACGCGATGTTATGGCAGCTAATATCAACATATTGTTACAAATGCAATGGCACCCTTCTGCATCAAGTGTTTCGGAAATAATTGAATTCAATCGCAAGACTGGCGAAGGAGTCGGATATGTTCCTGTTATTTTACCTGGCAATTTAAATAACACAATAGAGGTACTAGTACAATCATTAACGACTTGGCAAGCAGAAAGAAAGCCTACAGCAGCAGGCTCATCAGAATACGGGAACGCTAGCAAGACAGGTATGATTGAATTTCTGATAAGGTATTTCGACGTAAAGTATATCATCTCATATATCCGATTTTTTATATGCCAACATAGTACTTGCCTGGCTTTATGATGCACTTACTATCTGGCAAGCATCTGCCACCTACCCTTTGATACTCCCTCTGCTTCCTTCATTGTTTCAAATGCAAGATGTAAATGACGACCAGGATCTTCAAGCAGCCGCAACTCATGTATTGAATGTTATTGCATCCTTTTCATATCCTCCTGATATGGTGCAATTAATTATTGACAAATTCATAGAGATTTTGACTGAAACTTCAAGTTGGCATGTACGGGTAAAAGCTCTCCCAGTGTTACAAGTTTTCTACTTTAAACATCTTTTTATGTTAAGCGAAGAAAAAATGATTAAAGTAATGGATGTGGTGTTTGACATGTTAAAAGACACTCAAATTGAAGTAAGTTGAAATGTGATATGAAAACTTTTGTATATTATTAAGTACATTATGCTTAGAATATTCCCCGAATTAGGTACGCCAATTGGCAGCAGTTACATTATCAGGCCTTATACGATGCTCACAAAGGGGTGCTATAGCTACTTTGAAAGTAAGTTATTTATCACTATGGTTAAAAAGCAAACTTTATGCCCTAACATTGTTTTTTACTTGCATTGTCTGCATTATATATTTATAGGATCAATTTTTTAAGTTATTGGATACTAAAATTCCTCCACGTGCGAGTTCGCGTAGAGCCCCTCGAACAACATTACCTCAAGGTTTTCAGGAGGCTGTTCTCACTAGGCATGCGGGCGTTCTCGGGCTATCATGCTTAGTTAATGCCTTTCCATATGATGTTCCAAAATGGATGCCTGAAGTATTAGTGAAATTGGCAGAGTGCATTTCTGATCCTGCGCCAATACAGGTACCATCTCCTTTTTCGGTTTTTTCTTCAATATATATCTTTGACTTTTTACATTTATTCATTTATGGTTTAGGCAACTGTAAAAAACACATTTGCAGATTTTAAAAGAACGCATCAGGATTCATGGCATGAAGATATGAAGCAGTTTACGGAAGACCAGCTATCCCTTCTTTCTGATATGTTAATTTCACCCTCTTATTATGCTTGAGATAGATATGCTGCTTTCTATAACGTTTGAGCATTATTTGGCTAGAATTAACATTAATATTTATTGTACAACCATATAATTATATAATTTTGATTTAATAATAAATTTTCATTACTGTATATTACAAAGTTTTTTCATGTGATAAATTAATACCGATGTTAACGGATTATTTTTCTAACAGTATAGACAGGAGAAATGGACTTTGAATTACTCTGGTTATAGACAATAATGTCTTAGGCTTTATAATCAGTTTACAAGGATCAGATTTTAATTTTAAGAACTTAAGTTTATAGGTTCATTACTATAGGATAATTTTCTTGGCATTGGTTGATTATGTAAATCAAATATTACTATTTATATCGGTATAACAATAAGCAATTGTGAATTAATAAGATCATCAAGCTGATGTTGCGATTTTTTAATAGACAAGTTGGTAATTAGCTAAAAAGTAGCACCACAAACTAGAAGCCAACGTTTTAGTACATCAAATAAAAATATGATATAGATTCATTTTTAATTGATTATTGGTTTTATTTTTTTATAAACAATATAAAATAAATTTTGATTATGCAATAGAAAGAAACGTTCGATGTTATACAAATGTTTATAGTGAGTTTATAAAAATCAAGCAAAATTTTTAATTAAAAATAATTTTTTTAAATTTTATAAATTAATAAAAATTTGAACTTTTCACATTATACATTTTACACATATGTTTATTTAGAACCCAGAACTTGAACAATTATCTGTGACCTAAACCTACCAATGCCATTTTAGTATCTTATATATTACCTAATTATTTTATTACTATATTAAATTATTTTTCTTATATCTTATGTTATTTACAATTTGAATTTCTCCAAAGGAACAGGGCACCTCGGCAATTTAAGTATATTACTGATTAATTATTGTGGCAGATTAAAATGAAATAATATTAAAATGAAATGAGTAACAATGTCAAATAGACAAGCCATCAAAAAATACAAATTTTTGAGGTGTATTTTTTAACAGAAGGAAACGTACCCGATCCAAAGTGAATCCCACACACGGTGTGATCAATTAAATAAATAATTTTAGCTTTAATTGATTACACCCGGGTACGTTCCCTCCTGTTGTATTTTTTTTGTTTGTTTAAGGTTAGAATTAATGTTTAGAAGTAGAATTTGATTGGTTAGTTTATATAAATCTATAAGTTATTTTTTTTTTGATGTTAAGATGAGTACTTGTGATCCAAAATTTTATTGATAGTATGTTTCAGTTGATAGCTGTTTTATAACAATTACAGAACAACTATGAAAAAAGTGTACAACTAACTATTTGTATAATTTTAGTTATTGTTTAATTTAAATAGTTTACTTAAAGGTTTTACATTAGTTGTTATATATAGAACTTGTTTGTAGATTTTCTATTTAAACATTCTAGTTCTTATATTTACTTTAATTTATTTAACTGTTTTAGTCAGAACAATGCAAATATGTTATAATTACTAAGTTATATTTAACTTTATATTAACCTCATTAGAGTCTTTTGTATCTTATATTTACAGTTGATTTGATATTATTTTGACTTAGATTAGCACTTATAGTTAGAATTAATTATTAAATTATTATATTCTTATAAAGTTTATTCAAATCTTAGTATTTATCTTTTTGTTATTTTTTTTATTATCTTTTATTAATCATTATGTTACAGAGTTGTAGCCTTCTTGGTATAATACAATCAAGTAACAAGGTCACCTGGTATAGTGATTAGCTATTGCAAATATATATAGGGTAGAGGTGTAGTAGTTCACTTTACTACATAGCAGCAGGTAAACAGTTTAAGATAGTAATAGTATATAGATTAACTTTTATTAAATAAACACACAGTAACAACCTTGCTTATAGGAATTACTCTAGAAGGGGAATATTACTTTTACAAGTTAGGAGTAAAGGTAGAAGGGTTTAGGTTAAAGTATAGAAACTTAGAATTGGCAAGAAAGAATAAAAGCTACTCTTTTTATATCTTTTTATCTAGTGAGGATAGTAGGGATTTAAGCAATATTACTTGATATTGTACTCAGGATAATAGAAGTTTGAACAATATTAGATATTATTGTAGTTAGGATAGTGAAGGTTCGAACAACATTAAATGATACTGTGCTTGGAGTAATGGGGACTATGTAGAGGCAACTGAAAATATTGTTTATATGATTTGTCATTCATACTTGAAACACTTGGGACTTGTGTTTAGGTACTTGGATCTGTGCAAAAGCATTTTGAGATTTGTGCAGGAATACTTGAGATTCATGTAGGGACACTTGGAGTTCATATCAGGAATATTTGAGATTCTTGTATTGTGGTACTTGGCATAGTAATTTGGTACTAGAATACATGAAACTTGTATAGGAGTACTTGGAGTTTGTAAGACAATAGTAATATCACAAATGTTACTTAGTGTCATATAGCTGTATTACATTTCTAATAGTCAATTAAAATCCTTTTATTTATCTACTATATAATATAACTATCAACTAACTAATGACTAATAATAAATATAATATAAAATATAATAATGAATAAATATATAATTACTAATACTACTATATAATATATTATACTAAAATCTACTTTGTAACAATTATTTAAAATTAATAAATTTTAGTTATATGATCAATTCAGATTATTTAATATAATATATATATTTTTTGTATTTTTTTTCTTTATTAATTTGATAACCTGATTAGTATATATATTTCTCTTATATATCTGTTATTTAGTTTATTCAATTTGTTTTTTTAAAGATAATTTGTAAATTTTTGTTAGTCTAACAATACTATTAAAAGTTTATATATATTATTTTTTTACTTAAGATTTTTAAATAGAATTTTGTTTTCTTAATTTTTTAGTCTTTTATATTTAGTAGTATTAGTATTAAAGTTTTATATAATTTTTTTTTTTTTTAATGTTAAGGTAATCTTTTTGGTCTTTTGACTTTTATTAATAACTTTATTGGTAATATAATTCTATGAACTACTACAGAAAAGTATACAATTAATTATATATATAACTTTTTTATATTACCTATTTAAGAAGTTTACTTGAAGGTTCTTCACTAATTGTCATATTTAACATTTCTGTTTGGGTATTTTACTTTAAACCTTCTGAACCTGTAACTTGTATTAACTTACTAGATTATATTTAGATGCCTAGATCATTATCTTAACCTTAGAACTATTTTATTCTTAAGATAAACTCTCAGAGCCTTTTATATTTATTTTTACAACTGATTTAGATAATGTTATAACAGAACCAATATTTGTAGTTAGGACTTAATTATTAAACTGCTATGCTCTTATAGAGTTCACTAAACCTTAGCATCTACTTTATAGCATATTTCTAGTAATTTAGTATACATTTAAATTTTGCCAAATTTTCAATTCAGATAGCTCATATAAAACTACAACCAGTCTATCAGTATATTAGATTAATCTAATATTCTTTTTCTTCAGTTTATTTCAGTGACCTGATTAGTGATATTTCTGAGACTTTTAACCTAAAGATTCTTGTCTGTTCAGTTACTAAGATCTTGATATCTATTTCCAGTGATCTAGTTTTTATAGTAGTGCCATTGAAGATTCAGCTACTTTTTTATTCAAATCTTCTCAAATAAACCTTTTGTTATCTAATTTCAATAGATTTATATAGTTACAAAAACTTATCTAATGTTTGCACTACCTAATTGTCAGTTTGAATTCTTTTGTATAACTTCAATATTGACAAATACTCTATAACCTGCCAGTTATGCTGATCTAACTGTCATTACAAATATTCTAACCCAATTGTTAGTAATAGTTGTTATAATTTAAATATTACATAGATAATTATCTAAAATTTTTACTATTGATAGGATTTGAACACTCAACCTACTACTTGGAGAGTTAACAATCTGATTACTTTACTAGGTCATTACACTCTCTTATACAATATTAGTTTTAATATTTCTTTATATATATATAATATTATATTTTGTATAGATGTTTTAATTTTTTAATATTAAATAAAATTTGACTTAGTGTATTTGGCTTATAGTTATTTGAGATTAAATAATCAATATATAGAAAACAGTTATTATAATATAAATATAATTTTCAAAATTTATTATTTATAAGATTTAAATATTAGATCTGTTACTTAAAAGTCAATAATCTGTTTACTTTACTAAATTACATATTACACTTCTATAAGTTAATTTTATTATATAATTTTATATCTTAATATTTGAAAATATTATTAGAAACTAATAAAACAAGTATAAAATAAAGTAAATATAATGAATTATAATTTGGATCTAAATTGAACTCTTTCTAACAATTACTTAAACCAAACTTTTCAAAAAACTAAACTATAGTAAAATGATATAGTTAATATATTAAACTTTATGAAAACCTTTCTGGAGTACTATACACACATTGTTGGATATTAAAATAAAGTTGAAAAAAAGTTACAGGCTTGTGATTATGGTTTAAAAAGCATTCTGGGGCTATAGAAGAAGTAGTCAGTGAAAGTCAAAGTTTTTCATTAAGTAAACAACAAAGTTGGATATATTAGTTCTATACAATTGTAAAACCTACAAGAAACATCTACAAGGGTTCAGAACTTACAAAAGCTAACAATTAGTTCATTTAGTACTTTTACATTTTTTTGAGGAAAATTTTATAATAATAAGTAATTCAGTTTACTCTTTTCTAAAAATCGACATATAAAATCACCAAAATAGTCAGCAATATTTACTTTCTAAATAGGATTGTTAATAATGTAGATTAAAAACAATACAGTGATACAAACATGACTATACACATGCTTCAAGCTGCTAGAAATCTGTTAAATACTGTATCTGAACTAACCAGTATTCTATACTGACTCTTTATAATAAAGTTAAAGTTTTTTTTCTTCTTTTTGGTTTTTTGTTCAAATAATCTAAGTAAATAGAAAGATAGTAGAGTAATTTCTATTTAGTAT